GTATTAATAAAAACACATGGCAAGCTACCTGTAATCTGTATAAATAAAACACAGGGCAAGGTACCAGTAATCTGTATAAATAAAACACAGGGCAAACTACCAGTAATCTGTACAAATAATACACATGGCAAACTACCAGTAATCTGTATAAATAAAACACAGGGCAAGCTACCAGTAATCTGTATAAATAAAACACAGGGCAAGCTACCAGTAATCTGTATAAATAAAACACAGGGCAAGCTACCAGTAATCTGTATAAATAAACACATGGCAAACTACCAGTAATCTGTAAAAATAAACACATGGCAAAACTACCAGTAATCTGTGTAAATAAACACATGGCAAAACTATCAGTAATCTGTACAAATAAAACACATGGCAAAACTATCAGTAATCTGTATACATAAACACATGGCAAAACTACCAGTAATCTGTATAAATAAACACATGGCAAAACTCCCAGTAATCTGTGTAAATAAACACATGGAAAAACTATCAGTAATCTGTGTAAGTAAACACATGGAAAAACTATCAGTAATGTAAAGGAAACATTCCCCAAAGAAAAGAAAAGAGCCAGAAAGGCACATAAATCTCACAACCAAGCATAATTAATAACAATCATAAATAAATCACACTAAATCCCAAAGCCACCCACTAGAAGCAGGAGGCAGTGGTACTCTGACCTGTACTGACTGCGGAGCAGCAAAGAAAGAGGAAATGATGCAATGGGAAGGGGGTTTTATAGTACCTAACTTTTTTCTGATTGGTTGTTTTTCTGTGCTGCTGTGGAGTTCTAGTAAAAAGAGACTAAAGCAAATATGAAGCCTCCTGTTATGTTATAAAATTTGTCTTAAATGTTTCAACTTAACTTGTAAATAGAGTTTCAAGCTTGTATGAGCCAAATGCCTAGGTCAGGTATAGTCTTTGTCACAACTTAAAGGGTGCTCCACTGAGCAGTGGATGAGCAGGAGGTTTGTTTTATTATTGTTTTATTATTTTAGCTCTGTCATGGACAAGTGGGTTGTACTGGTAGAATGATCATTACTGTCAGTGTGAAGTTTCCAGTTCAGATAGGTGCAGACCTCAGTAATGGCTCCCTTGTAGTCTGACGCTTTTTAGTGAGCCAAAGCACAGCTGCCGGATGTTTCCAGCTTGCTCTGTGACTCGCTGAGTGACTACCTGAGAGAGAGCATTTACTGAGTTCTGGAACCACCAGTGGTGTAAAGCTCACATTCCCCCACTGGGCTATAACAGGCTTCAGTACATCTGCCGGACCACCAGATTCATTTAATCCACCTGGTTGACCACCAGGTTGTATGATCCCCCCATTGGATCTCCAAAAATCATAGTGCCCTCTTCCTTTAAGAAAGTCAAGTAGGAGTGAGCTGCAAACAGACACCCCACACCACACACAAATCTCATACAGCCAGCACATATCACACATCACATACAGCCAGCACACACCACATACACACACATTACATTCAGCCCACTAACTCCACACACATCACTTACATCCAGGACACACTCTGAGGGTGCACCGGCCCAGGGGGCTTAATGTCCGGGTTACCTGTAGCAGGTGAGCAGAGAGCACTCCTTTCCTGCCAGTCACTAAATGTAGCGTGACCTAGTTCCGTCATCCTTCGGCTCTGGTGCATGCCGCAGGCTCTGTGCAGGGGCAGGGATATCAATCATGCCAGGGATATCAATCATGCCACAGCACAGCTGGCGAGTGTGGGACACCTAGTGATGGGGCCTGACTGCAGGATATGAACTCCACAAAGCTGGACAGGATGCTCCCTGGACACCTGGTTGCAGAGGGTTGAGTTGTTGTCACAACAACACTTACCTGAAGGTCCCTCGCCGCGTCTACATCCGCAGCTCCGGCGGTTCCCTTTTGGTGCACATCGAGGACTCCAACTTGCTCAGCTGCAGGGACAGGCATCCGAGATCCCTGTATCATATGGACGCAGTATCGTGGCTCTCCAAACCACGCCTCGACAAGCAGGAAGCTCCAGCCAAACCCACGTGTGAATTCCACTTGCGCTAGGCGCTCGTGTGCCCGAAAGCCGGTCTCTTAAAGGGACAGAACACCTAGAATTGTTTAAGGGGCTAATCATTTTTCAGCCAATAGTATGTGAGAAGTGGATACTTCTCCTTTAAATAATTTCAGTCTACCCTTACCTCAGTGCTCAGTTATACTGTGCTCTTTGGTGTATACACACTTTTGTGAATTCTGTCTTCATCCGACCTATCCGCCTGTTATACGTGCCTGAGTCCGTGCTGCCTGCCCCCAACCTTGGCTTTCCTTGACTACGAGATTGTTTCATCCCTCACTTTTTGGCTCACTACTACCTCCTGGGCACCACCTGTCAAAAAAAAAACAACATATGTAGGCAATAATTGTGTGCATGTATGACTGTAAGCCTGTGTGTGTTTGTCTGTGTATGACAGTGTATAGTGTCAATATGTCAATGTAGAACAGTGTCTGTTTGTCACTGTATGATTGTATGTTTGTGTTGGATAGTGCCTGTATGTCTGTGTATGTATGACTGTGTCTGTGTGCCTCTGTATGTCTGTGTCTGTATGACTGTGTCGGTATGTCCCTCGCAGTGGCGTCGCTAGGGGGGGGCCAGAGGGGGCCATGGCCCCCCCTACATGATGCTGTGCCCCCTCTTGGGCCCCCCCAAATGCTGGCAACTAGCTGGCCATCTGCTTCCCTCGGACTGTTACAGCCTGTTACAGCCCGAGGGAATGCAGGAGAGAGGTGCTGGAGGCTGTCTGTGGCTGGAGGGAGCACTGATTGGCTCCCCGGCACAGGCTCCGCCCCCAAACGAAGCCCCGCCTCCCGCCGGTAAGCCCCGCCCCCGCCGTTATGCAGCAGCCCATGCTGCTGCTGAAGATGGCTGCCTGACCCCCACAGGTGACAGGTAGGCTGGGGGGGGGGGAGGTGTACACACACACATTGCCCCCATACACACACATTGCCCATACAGCCTCCCATACACACTGTCCCCATCTGCCCCTCATACACACACTGTCCCCCATGCTGCCCCTCCATACACACATTGCCCCCATACTGCCCCCATACACACACATTGTCCCCATACTGCCCCCAATACACACACATTGCCCCCATACACACACACTGCCCCCATATAGCCTCCCATACACACTGTCCCCCATACTGCCCCCCCATACACACACACTGCCCCCATACAGCCTCCCATACACACACACTGTCCCCATACTGCCCCCCCCATAGACACACACTGCCCCCATACAGCCTCCCATACACACACATTGCTCCCCATGCTGCCCCCCCATACACACATTGTCCCCTACTGCCCCCATACACATTCCCCCCCATACACACACTGCCCCATGGCACGTGCATTTCATACTGCCCCCCCATACACACACACTGCCCCCATACACACCTGCCCATCATGCACACACATTGCCCCATACACACACTGCCCCCATACACACATTGCCCCACACACACTGCCCCCCATACACACACTGCCCCCATACAGCCCCCCATACACACACACTGCCCCCATACACACTTATTTGCCCCCCCATACTGCTGCCCCATAGACACACGTACTTTATACTGCCCCCCATACACACACTGCCCCCCATACACACACATTGCCCACACACTGCCCCCCATACACACACTCTGCCCCCCCATACACATACACTCTACACACATACACTATCCCCATACACACACACTGTATGGACTCAGCAGTCTGGCATACATTTTTTTTCCAGGGCTGCTTTGGATTCCCAGGGATTCCCAGTTTGGCTCTGCCAGCGAGTGTACTTTACCGCTGAATAATCTGTGTGAGCTGCCGCACACTTTAGCCCTGTTACACGCGTCTGGGAGCTGCTGTTGACAGGTACTAGTAGTCTAGAGATTGGGGTATATGCTCAGCTATCTGTATAATACAGATCTGTATGTATAAAATATCCTGGGATAGTCAGTGCTTCCTGTATAGTGCTGCTCTCTGTCTTGGGATTATACAGAGAGCAGCACTATACAGGGAGCACTGAGTGTCCCAATTTATTATACACACAACCCTGTATTATAGAGAGAGCACTGACTGTCCAGGGATATTATACCCAGACAGTAATTGATAGCTGTGCTGCAAAATGTCCTTGGAAATTTTTTTTCAAATGTTGGCAACTATGGCATTGTATCAAGGATAATGTGTTTGTTTTTTTAATAATCCCTGGTGGAAAATCATGATTCCTCCACCAGGTATTATTAAAAAAACAAAACACATTGTGTCGGGGGCGTGGCTTAACATGTGACGGGGCGGGGTCAAACTGCGGCGAGGGCGGGGTTAAATGTGCCCCCCTACTTTTGTCACTGGCCCTCCATGTGCCCCCCCGAAAAATGAATCCTAGAGATGCCACTGTGTCCCTGTATGACTGTATGTCTGTATGACCACGTCTGTGTGTTTCTGTATAACAGTGTCTGTGTGTCTCTGTATAACTGTATGTCTATGTCCATACAGCCCCCCCATACACACACACTGCCCCCCATACACACTCATTGCCCCCCATACTGCTACCCATAGACACACATTGCCCCCCATACTGCCCCCCATACACACACCCCCATACACACATTGCCCACACTGCCCCCCATACACACACTCTGCCCCCACATACACTCTACACACATACACTATCCCCGTACACACACTGTATGGACTCAGCAGTCTGTGTGTGTGTGTGGACTCAGCAGTCTGTGTGTGTGTGTGTGTGTGTGTGTGTGTATGGACTCAGCAGTGTGTGTGTATGGACTCAGCAGTCTGTGTGTGTGTGTGTGTATGGACTCAACAGTTTGTGTGTGTATGGACTCAGCAGTCAGTGTGTGTGTGTGTGTGTGTATGGACTCGGCAGTCTGTGTGTGCATGGACTCAGCAGTCTGTGTGTGTGTGTGTATATGTGTGTACGGACTCAGCAGAGTCTGTATGTGTGTACGGACTCAGCAGTCTGTGTGTGTGTGTATGGACTCAGCAGAGTCTGTGTGTGTGTACGGACTCAGCAGAGTCTGTATGTGTGTACGGACTCAGCAGAGTCTGTATGTGTGTACGGACTCAGCAGAGTCTGTGTGTGTGTACAGACTCAGCAGAGTCTGTGTGTGTGTACGGACTCAGCAGATTCTGTGTGTGTGTGTACGGACTCAGCAGAGTCTGTGTGTGTGTATGGACTCAGCAGAGTGTGTGTGTGTGTGGACTCAGCAGTCTGTGTGTGTGTATGGACTCAGCAGTCTGTGTGTGTACGGACTCAGCAGTCTGTGTATGTACGGACTCAGCAGAGTCTCTGTGTGTGTGTGGACTCAGCAGTCTGTTTGTGTTTGTGTATGGACTCAGCAGAGTGTGTGTGTATGGACTCAGCAGAGTCTGTGTGTGTGTGTGTATGGACTCAGCAATCTGTGTGCGTGTGTGTGTGTGTGTATGGACTCAGCAATCTGTGTGTGTGTGTTGTGATAAAGTGAAGGCAGATAGGCCTTTTAACCCCAGGGGGAGTATGTGTAGTTTGTGTGTTGCACAACACAACGCATTGTTTAGTTATGGGCCCCTGGGGTGGAGCATTTGGAGAGCAGGGTGGGCCAGTGCTCCACTCCACAGTTTAGTGGTGTTCTGGGGAGACCTAGATCCAGGCCAGGGTTTTTTGGACTGTCTCCAACCCACTGCTCAGCTGCAGGTAATCAGCTGTTGCAGTGGGAATAAACTCCTCCCGGCTAGACAGGAAAAGGAGAGGGATTGCTGGCTTCCTCCCAGGAAGCAGGTAGGAGAGAGGCTGATCTCTCCAGATAGAGTCAAAGAGACTAGGCACTGGGAGTGCAGAAAGGAAGCAGTCAAGGCTGGCTTGGAGCACTGGGAGTGCAGAAGGAAGCAGTCAAGGCTGGCTTGGAGGCACTGGGAGTGCGGAAAGGAAAGCAGTCAGGACAAGGCTGGCTTGGAGCACTGGGAGTGCAGAAAGGAAAGCAGTCAGGGCAAGGCTGGCTTGGAGCACTGGGAGTGCAGAAAGGAAAGCAACAGGCTAGCTAGCAGAGTGTTGCTATCTAAAAGGTTGGTGCAATATTGTTTAGTTTAACCCTGAGAGATAGGGAAACATGTCAGTTAGTGCTCAGACGAGCTAGGTTTTTGTTTATAGGGTTTTCTGTTACATTTATGTTTTCATTTAACTGCTGTATCCTGTGTGAACTTACAAATAAAGTGCCTGGAGTATTTGCAACTACAAGGACTGTGCATGTTTTTACCCTAGAGGGCCGTGCTACCTGCAAACAAGGATCACAGTGTGTATGGACTCAGCAATCTGTGTGTGTGTGTGTGTGTATGGACTCAGCAGTCTGTGTGTGTGTATGGACTCAGCAGTCTGTGTGTGTGTATGGACTCAGCAGTCTGTGTGTGTATGGACTCAGCAGTCTGTGTGTGTATGGACTCCGCAGTCTGTGTGTGTGCATGGACTCAGCAGTCTGTGTGTGCATGGACTCCGCAGTCAATAATTAAAATTCCTGTGAGTTGTTGTGTAGGAAGGGCCCCAGTGTATTGCTTTGCCCAGGGGCCCTTAACTCTATTAAAATGGTACTGCTTGTGTGTGTCAGTGAGCTTCTATTTAGTGAGCATGTGTGTGTCAGTGAGCTTGTCTTTAGTGAGCTTGTGTGTGTGTCCCTGAACTTCTTTGTAGTGAGCCTTCTGTTTATACAAGTGAGTGTCTGTAGTAAGCTTGTGTGTGAGTCAGAGAGTTTTGTCTGTCAGTAAGCCTGTTTGCGCATGTCAGTGAGCTTGTGTGCTTACTGTACTATATATATATATATATATATATATATATATATTTTGACTTGTAGGAATGGCATACATTTTTTTTCCAGGGCTGCTTTGGATTCCCAGGGATTCCCAGTTTGGCTCTGCCAGCGAGTGCACTTTACCGCTGAATAATCTGTGTGAGCTGCCGCACACTTTAGCCCTGTTACAGCGTCTGGGAGCTGCTGTTGACAGGTACTAGTAGTCTAGAGATTGGGGTATATGCTCAGCTATCTGTATAATACAGATCTGTGTGTATAAAATATCCCGGGATAGTCAGTGCTTCCTGTATAGTGCTGCTCTCTGTCTTGGGATTATACAGAGAGCAGCACTATACAGGGAGCACTGAGTGTCCCAATTTATTATACACACAACCCTGTATTATAGAGAGAGCACTGACTGTCCAGGGATATTATACCCAGACAGTAATTGATAGCTGTGCTGCAAAATGTCCTTGGAAATTTTTTTTCAAATGTTGGCAACTATGGCATTGTATCAAGGATAATGTGTTTGTTTTTTTAATAATCCCTGGTGGAAAATCATGATTCCTCCACCAGGTATTATTAAAAAAACAAAACACATTGTGTCGGGGGCGTGGCTTAACATGTGACGGGGCGGGGTCAAACTGCGGCGAGGGCGGGGTTAAATGTGCCCCCCTACTTTTGTCACTGGCCCTCCATGTGCCCCCCCGAAAAATGAATCCTAGAGACGCCACTGTGTCCCTGTATGACTGTATGTCTGTATGAC